TTCCTGGAAACCGGTTTATTCCTTGCTCATGTATACAAGGGACTTCTTTTCTACTGACGCCAAGCGTAAGTTAGAGCGGCATTCTTCTGCCTGCCTTCCTAGAGAACAGATGTGTTCATCGAGGCCAGTAAATCTATGCTTTGAAGAGGCGGCCTTTGGTATCTAGGACATTTCCTAAGCTTGGGTAAGTTAATTATAGTTTACGAGTACCCTTAATATTATCTTTTTAGAGTTGGTCACTGCTGTAGAGAGATCAGAACCGGCTATGGGATCGCACAGAGTTCTTGATGTCCAGAGAACAGGATCCGAACCTTAGACCTTCTTCTGCACAGACTAAATAGTTTGTGCTGTAAATAACCCACACCATTGGTAAAGATAATAAAACCCCACAAGTATTTATCCTTTGAACTAGCAACAGAAGTTTGTGCAGTATTAATAGGGACGGAGAATGTAGGTCAGTTTTATCGGCAACTAGCGCGTTGCTTTGAGTGTGTTTGACACAGATCAATGGGTGTGAAGTGAATGGTCTGAGGAGACGGAGGAGATATGGGTACTGACTGTAAACACTGGTGTCTGTGTGCAGGTGTGAGAGAGAATGAGATATGTGTGATAAGGTCTATCTATCTCCACTATATATATATATATATATATATATATATATATATATATATATATATATATATATATATATATATATGACTTTCCATCTCTTGCACTAAACAGACAGATAAATGAAAGGAGACATTGTCTCCTGGTCTGGAGAGTACACTCTGAGGAATGAAACAGAGGAGCAGAGGGTAGTAAACTGATGTGTGATGAAACCTGATTACTAATCCTGAGTTATTTCCTGACAAGATGATACTCCCTTGGTGACAACTAATTCTGAGTTCTTTTCTGACAGGATGAAATCTCTGTAGAGAGCAGGCAGATCAATCGCAGTCCAACCAACCAACCACCAGCTAACACCAGTGTATGTGCCTGGCATTACCAGAGCGTGCCCTATACGCCACTACCTCAACATGACCAGAGCGTATGTGTGAGCTCCAGGGCGAGTGAACATTTGCAGAGCTTGTGTCAGTGATCGAGGGTACCAGTCTTTAGGAGCCTGGTTCGGCTCTGAGACAGTTTGTGACCTGACCTGTGGAAGAGACTTCTTGAATCCCTATACAGTTTCTGTGTCCTTGATGGTGAGGTACTCCCCTGTGACCAGATCAACTTGAGGCAGAGTTACCAGAGTCAACTACAGATGAATCACAATGGACTGAGGGGAGCATCAACATCAGAATTGGGATAAGTGACGGTTTTGTTCCATTATCATGCTCTATTCCCCACAGCTCCGCAGTATTCCGATGATAAATACTGATATACTCTTCAAGATCATCTGGCTGCTTCAATAACTGAGTCGTGGCTCTGAGTCCTGATTCTTTGAACATTCTGGAAACTTAATGTTCCATTTGTGTAGATACTTTGTACTTATTTCATACATTTATTTTCATGGCTGACTTAGGTGCCCCTGTTTCACTTTTCTAATCTTTTAGCATTGATATGTATGTGTGAATAATAAGTGTTATGTGTTAACATGGTTATTATAGTAGACTATCATAACCTGGGGGCTATCTTTTTATAGTAGTGGGGGCGTCCAGCCAAGTGTGCCTAGAAATATTATATATATATATATATATATATATATATATATATATATATATATATATATATATATATATATATATATATATATATATATTGTAGTGCCAAAACTTGAGTTGCCCTACTCCAGAAATAAGTTGAGCGTATATTGGCCACGGGGCATCCCTTAGACCAATACGAGCCAAACGACTCAACATAATTATTTCTGAGTGCTGTTGGTTCTTAAGGAGAAATCCTTACATCAGGAACGTGACAAGAGTGATATGTGACACCGTTAACGGCTGTGCTGGTGTCACCGTTACCGGCTGTGCTGGTGTCACCGTTAACGGCTGTGCTGGTGTCACCGTTAAAGGCTGTGCTGGTGTCACCGTTACGGCTGTGCTGGTGTCACTGTTAACGGCTATGCTGGTGTCACCGTTAACGGCTGTGCTGCTGTCACTGTTAACGGCTGTGCTGGTGTCACCGTTAACGGCTGTGCTGCTGTCACTGTTAACGGCTATGCTGGTGTCACCGTTACGGCTGTGCTGCTGTCACTGTTAACGGCTATGCTGGTGTCACCGTTAACGGCTGTGCTGCTGTCACTGTTAACGGCTGTGCTATTGTCACAGTTAAGGTGCCCTCGTTATCATTTCCGAGTTTAACAGGGTGTCTGGCATTTCAGGATTTCCGGCAGTGGTATGAAAGTCAGACAGTGGAAAGCTTTGGGGTCTCTCTTTTACACATTCCGACGACAGGAACCCACACAGGTTTCGACTGCAGCCTAAAAAAATTGCGGCCGAGATAAACATTTAGCGTAAATTCTAGGGACGCCTCTGGTTCGGTCATGTCACTGTGTATTTAGGCATCCATCAGCCCCTAGGGACCAGGGAGTTCTATCGCTTTGTAGGGAACAGCGTCTGCTAAACTGTCAAGACCAATGCGGAAGTTGCAGTCTCTGAATCATAGTCCACATAAAAAGGTCGATACTCTCATTCTGAGACTCTCAGGTATCTCCTGTCTACAGCAAGCTACGTCTGGCATAAATACAAAGGCTCGTATTTCACTGCCTGCCTCTACACGATTCGGTCTGCTGTTGATCTGGTTGTGTCTGTGTCTGTGCTAATGTTGATATCATTCAGGTCACATCTGCATATGTCATTATTGGTCAACTTTGGCCTTCCTGCAGGTCTTATTTTTTGTTACCAGTTCAAAATACAGCAGATCCTTTAGAATGCCATCAGCCTTTATGCGCGAGAAGAGTCCTAACCAACACAGACGCCTTTGCTTCAGTAGAGAGTAAACTTCTGGCATTCCTGCTCTATTTAGTATATATTTAACAGCTTTGACTGTTGCCGTCCAGAAGCCGTAGTCGTATCAGTAAACTTCTTGTGTGATCACAATTATGTTGTAACTTTTAAAATCATTGCAGAAGTGTGTCCACGTCGCTGAACCATTAGTAAGTTAAGCACCAATGAGCTGACTTTACTCATCACAAATGTACTGACATTTCTAATTGTATACTACAGACTTTGATCACGGAAATCAAAACACAGGAAATAATTTAAAAATCCAGATGTCAAAAAGAACGGATTGCGAATAATATTACCTGAAACAGCACATAATTTGAGACCAAGGTCAAGGGTAATAAAGAAGATTCATTGTTCTTGTTTTGTGTGTGTATGCGTGTGTTTGTATCTATGCTTGTGTTTGTGTATGTGTGTGTATATGTGTGTATGCGTGTGTGTGTGTGATTATGTTTGTGTGTGTAAATGTATATGATATGGTTAGGTTCTCCCCTTTTCCATTTGGTTTGTGACTGATTATGTCATCATGACGTAATCAGTCACATCACATTATGTAACGTCACATTACAGTCTATCACATCACAGTCTAAGATCAAGTTAAAGTTAATGTGTCACATCACGTCCAATGAGTCAAGTTACCTGTCGCTTCTTATTCCATAACGTTACGTTGCAGTGTGTTACATCACAATCTATAACGTCACGTTACAGCATGTTACATCACAGTCTATAACATCACGTTACAGTGTGTCAAATCACAGTCTATAACCTCAAGTTAAATGTGCCACATCACAGCCTATAACGTCACGTTAAATGTGACAGATCACAGTCTATAACGTCACGTTACTGTGTGTTAATCACAGTCTATAATGTCACATTACAGGGGTCACACCACAGCCTATAAAGTCACGTTACCGTGGGTCACACCACAGACTATAAAGTCACATTACAGTGGGTCACATCACAGTCTATAAAGTCACGTTACAGTGGGTCACATCACAGTCTATAAAGTCACGTTACAGTGGGTCACACCACAGTCTATAAAGTCGCGTTACAGTGGGTCACATCACAGTCTATAAAGGCATGTTACAGTGAGTCACACCACAGTCTATAACTTCAAATTACAGTGGGTCACACCACAGTCTATAAAGTCACGTTACAGTGGGTCACATCACAGTCTATAAAGTCACGTTACAGTGGGTCACACCACAGTCTATAAAGTCACGTTACAGTGAGTCACACCACAGTCTATAAAGTCACGTTACAGTGGGTCACACCACAGTCGATAACGTCATCTTACAGTGTCGCACACCAGTCTCGGACGTCATGTTACTGTGTTACATGACAGTCTATAACGTCACCTTACAGCATGTCACATCACAATCTATACCGTCACGTTACAGTGTGTCACATCACAGCCTATGACGTCACTTTACTGTGTGTTACGGCAAAGTCTATAACGTCACGTTACAGTGGGTCCCATCACAGTCTATAACGTCACGTTACAAAAGGTCACGTCACAATCTAAAACGTCACGTTACAGTGTGTCACATCAGTTTATAACGTTACGTTACAGTGGGTCACATCACAGCCTATAACGTCACGTTACAGTGAGTCACAGCACATTCTATAAAGGCATGTTACAATGTGTCACATCACAGCCTATAAAGTCATGTTACAGTGAGTCACAGCACATTCTATAAAGGAATGTTACAATGTGTCACATCACAGCCTATAAAGTCATGTTACAGTGGGTCACAGCACATTTTATAAAGGCATGTTACAATGTGTCACATCACTGCCTATAAAGTCATGTTACAGTCGGTCACAGCACATTCTATAAAGGCATGTTACAATGTGTCACATCACAGCCTATAAAGTCATGTTACAGTGGGTCACAGCTCATTCTATAAAGGCATGTTACAATGTGTCACATCACAGCCTATAAAGTCATGTTATAGTTGGTCACAGCACAGTCTATAACCTCATGTAACAGGGTGTCACAGCACAATCTATAATGTCACGTTACAACGTTTCACAGCACAATCTATAACAACAAAACTAGATACCTACCTCTTTGGCAAACGCCGCGTTTCTCGTATAATGGTTAACAGGTGGGTAACAGTGCGAGCCATAGGATGCAACGGAGAACTCAATGTTTCCAGCAGACATGTCTAGCCAGTCGATTAAATAGGTTACCACTTGTCTCTGTTTGTCGAAATCGGGTTTGGTCATGCTCCCCGAGGAATCAAGGCACACAGTCAATGATAAATTCTTGCGGCACGGCGCTGCTCAGATATACAAACAAAGGATGTATCAAGTTATGTTGTGATAATACAAACCAAGGATTTATCGTGTTATGTTGTGATAATACACACCAAGGATGTATCTTGTTATGTTGTGATAATACAAACCAAGGATTGATCGCGTTATTTTGTGATCATACATTACAAAGAATCTATCGTGTTATGTTGTGATAATACATTACAAAGGATCTATCGTGTTATGTTGTGATAATACGTTACGAAGGATCTATCTCGTTATGTTGTGATAATACATTACGAAGGATTTATCATGTTTTGTTGTAATAATACATTGCGAAAGGAATTATCGTGTTACGTTGTGATAATACATTACAAAGGATCTATCGTGTTATGTTGTGATAATACATTACGAAGGATCTATTGTGTTATGTTGTGATACTACGTTACGAAGGATCTATCGCGTTATTTTGTGATGATACACTATAAAAGATTTATTGTGTTATTTTGTGATAACACATTACAAATGATCTATCGTGTTATGTTGTGATAATACATGACGAAGGATTTATCGTGTTTTGTTGTGATAATACATTACAAATGATATATCGTATTATGTTGTAATAATACATTACGCAGGATTTATCATGCTATTTTGTGATAATACATTATGGATAATATTTACCATATTATTTAACTCTTCCTGTATACACTACAATATAAAGGAGATTACTTGGTAATGCATATGAATGACTAAATGAATCAATAAATGACTTCACTTCACTCATGAAATTGCAACAAGTGCTCCGTTCCCTACTTGTTAAACCAATCAAGAGTCCACGTGCTAATAGTTGCAGTTTGTTTTAAAAGTCGGCGTATGTTTACCCCACAACGTTGAATGTCTTCTACAACCTTCATTCACATCTCATCGAATTACTGTTTTAGTGTATCGATTCTCTGGCTGCTCTTGTGTACCGTCCATTTGATCGAAGAGGTTCTTTTATCATGTCCGCTTTATCATAAACTAGCCTACCACACAGAGGAGCAGCAGCAGCTAGTCTATCATTGCGCCATTTTGGATTATTACATAAAACTGTGTTATATAAGGTTATATAAACATATAGTTTTAGTTAGATCCCTGTTTTCACTAGGTGTGCACATACGGCAATTGATGAGACCAACATGTTGTAGAGGACAGGAGATTAAGATTTGCTGTCACCTCACTATTCTGCGCCAAGTCCGTCAATTAAGTCTAGTATATGTAACATATGTATGTGTGCGTATTATATATATATATATATATATATATATATATATATATATATATATATAAATATATATATATATATATATATATATATATATTTATATATATATGCAAATCAGCAGATGGTTATTATTATTATTATTATTATTATTATTATTATTATTATTATTACTATTAAGTAAGTGATTTTAAAAATAAGAACTAAATGAAAACACGTGTAGGAAAACCCCTTACCTGTGGGACAGTTTACACCCTAAGGGTTTGAAGGGTTGTGTTCAATGCAAATGTGGTTTTTTGGGTCTAAGAGAATTGATCGGGGTGGGGCGGGGGGGGGGGAGTTAAAGGGCCTCTACATCAACTTCCAAGGTCCCAGGATTATGTTACATGAATACTTAAAAACGACTAATGTTTTCCTCATTTTTTTCTTTTTCTATACCGCCCTTCCCCCAGGTAAGTTTGGTGGCAATAGAATCCGTTGCCATTTTTTGTGTGTGTGTGTGTGCTTTAAACAGTGCACACATTACGGTAACTTTGATCATAAAAGAACAACATCACTTTTATCACTATTTTTACAAGTAAACTGGATTTGTTGGAATTTCTCTCGTAATGTTTTCTGACTTGCTAAAGAAGTCTGGCCACGTGAACTGGATTAGTGCAGTGTGAAAACAATGAAGACTTAAAGTGGATTGGTGCAGTGTGAAAATAATGAACACTTAACGTATATTAGGACAGTGTAAAAGCAATGAACACTTAAAGTGGATATGTGCAGTGTTAAAACAGTGAACATTCAAAGTGGATTAGTGCAGTGTGAAAACAATGAACACTCAAAGTGGATATGTGCAGTGTTAAAACAGTGAACATTCAAAGTGGATTAGTGCAGTGAGAAAACAATGAACACTAAAACTGGATTAGTGCAGTGTGAAAACAATAAACAATCAAAGTGGATTAGTGCAGTGTGAAAACAATAAACACTAAAAGTGGATTAGTGCAGTGTGAAAACAATAAACACTAAAAGTGGATTAGTGCAGTGTGAAAACAATAAACACTAAAAGTGGATTAGTGCAGTGTGAAAATAATGAACACTCAACCTAGATTGGTACATTGTGAAAACAATGAACACTGCACTAATCCACTTTTAGTGTTTATTGTTTTCACACTGCACTAATCCACTTTTAGTGTTTATTGTTTTCACACTGCACTAATCCAGTTTCAATGTTCATAGTTTTCACACAAAGGCAGCAAATTGAACTCTGAAATAAATCACAAGAAACTATAGTTGATATATTACAGTCAGTTTTTACCCCTACCCACGCCTCCCATTTTTCCGTTTTTTTTTTTTTTTTTTGGGTGTGTTTTCTAATGATCTCAGTTCAAACTCAAAGGAGAGAAAAGAAAATATTATAATTGTGTGTGTGTGTGTGTGTGTTTGCGCGCGCGCGCAACAAGTCGATCACTGTCCGTTGTTAGTGTAAAATATAGTTACTCGTTGGTTTGCGTGCTTCTTAAATATGTACAATGCAAAAGAAATGTAACTCAGTGAGTAGAAATTATCTTTGCCTTCTTAAAATCATTTGACCTGTTTTAATAATCTGAAAATATCTTTCAGATTGTGTCAAGATTGGGGGGGTGGGGGGGGGGGGGTAGGGATTTTTTTTTTCAGTTTATATTTTTATAAATCGCTGACAGTGTAAGTGGCTTTGATCGGTCAAAATGACTTTAAAAAAAAATTACATTCTTAGTATTGTTGTTAATATTTTCTCGTGAAACACGTCATTATTTACTCTTTAAAAATTCTTTTCAATACAAGGTAACATAAACATGATTCGCTGTAGCTACGAAAATATGATTTCAGACCATTACGTTACACAGGTGGCTCCCTAGTCTGTTGTGAGGAAGGGGGCGGGGGTGGTAGAAACACCCCTGCCCTCCCACGTCAGGAATCTTGCAAAACCGACTAACTACGGGTATTTCATTTGAAGTCGGAATTTATCTGCCCGAGAGAAGCAGAATCTAAGGTATCCATACAAATATGCAACGCCCGTAACACGAAAATTCACGGAAAAGTCAAATGATCGAACATGACTAAAGTCTGGAAGTTGACGTATTACCAGAACTTTGGCCCAGAGCCGGTTGTGTCAAAGAAGAAGACAAAGGGAAAACAATTATTAATAATGATATAAGTGGACGATTTGTTGTTGTTGTTGTTGTTGCATATGTACATGCATCGCAAGGGTGAATAACTAATTTGCGCAGCGGTAGATATTCACAAACACGAACATAGGAAAAGGAATATTACGTACTGTTGTATAGAAGTAAATTATGCATATGCACGTATGGATTGATTACAACAGTACTGGGTGCGCTGACAAAGAGAACAAGTTTTGACAGGGTTCACGTCTCATATATTTTTCTGGGGTCAGTCTCAGGTACAAGAATCTTAAATTGTGTTTAGTTCACACAATATTAATAGAGGAGCAAATACAATTGTTGAAAACATATGGCTGCATTTGGATTTAAACACAGCCTGTAGGGTCAGACAAAATGACATACGAACTGACCATAAACAGAACACTAAATTAACCAGTCAATGTAACAAACAAACAAATACGCAAGCAGCGATATAAGCAGATTCAATATTAGCCCACTTGATATTATTGTGTGAATAAAATGTATAGTATACTCACGTGGTTTTACAGTTGCTGAAATAAAATACAATAGACAGGTTACTAAAGCAGGAAACTATCCTTGATTTATTACAGTCAGTTTTTTCCACTATGCTTCCCCCCCCCCCCCCCTACCCGCCCCGGTTATTTTTCCTTTTCTGTAGATCTTAGTTCAAAGTCAACGCCGAGAAAAGAGAACATTTGTATGTTGTGTGTGTAGCATTGTCGCAAGTCGATCAAACTGTCCGTTATTAGTGTACACTGTAGTTACTTGTTGTTGGTTCTGGAGCTGATGAAATACGAACAATGCAAAAGAAATCTGACTACTGAGTAAAAATTTTCTTTACCTTCTTAGAATCCACTAACACGTTCTCATAATCTGACAAACTTTTTTCAAATTTAAGATAGGGAAAGTACATTTTTTTTCTAAAAATACTAACAAATCCATCGCATTGTTTATTGTTTCATTCGGTTAAAACGCATTCTTGTTTAATTATTATTTATAAATATTATTATTTATTATTTGTCTTTCTTGAACTAAAATTGATTAAGTTGTATCATATTATTATTTATTATTTTTCTTTCTTTAACTAAAATTGATTAAGTTGTATCATATTATTATTTATTATTTTTCTTTCTTTAACTAAAATTGATTAAGTTGTATCATATTATTATTTATTATTTTTCTTTCTTTAACTAAAATTGATTAAGTTGTATCATATTATTATTTATTATTTTTCTTTCTTGAACTAAAATTGATTAAGTTGTATCATATTATTATTTATTATTTTTCTTTCTTTAACTAAAATTGATTAAGTTGTATCATATTATTATTTATTATTTTTCTTTCTTGAACTAAAATTGATTAAGTTGTATCATATTATTATTTATTATTTTTCTTTCTTCAACTAAAATTGATTAAGTTGTATCATATTATTATTTATTATTTTTCTTTCTTCAACTAAAATTGATTAAGTTGTATCATATTATTATTTATTATTTTTCTTTCTTGAACTAAAATTGATTAAGTTGTATCATATTATTATTTATTATTTTTCTTTCTTGAACTAAAATTGATTAAGTTGTATCATATTATTATTTATTATTTTTCTTTCTTGAACTAAAATTGATTAAGTTGTATCATATTATTATTTATTATTTGTCTTTCTTGAACTAAAATTGATTAAGTTGTATCATATTATTATTTACTTCTGTCAAAGACATGCTTTTGAGTACGAAGTAACAGAGAAATTGTGCGCAGTAGCTTCGAAAATATATGTTATCAGACTATTATGTTCCTCGGTTATTGTCCCAAATCTGCTTTTGGGGTAGAATCTTTTCAAAACCGACTAACTGTAGGTAGTTCCCTTAGAAGTCGGAAATTACGTGCTTGAGAGAAAAGGAATCGACAGTGTGCATACACATGTTCCGCACCTGTGAAACGGTTAGGCATGTAAAAGTATAATTCTCGAACCTGTCTAAAGGCTGGAAGTTGACGAACTACCATAACTATCATTCAGAGTTAACCGCCGGTTGTGACGAAGAAAAAGACAAAGATACATCTTTATTATTTCGAAACATGAGTGGAACATTTTTTACACAGGTCAGCACAGATTTGCAAAAAAAGAAAATTACGCACTGTTGTATAGAAGTAAAGTATGCATATTTACACATGAACTGATTGACTACAACAGTACCAGGTACGCTGACAGAGAGAACAATTTTTGACGAAGGTCCCGTCTCGCATAATTATTTTTTTGGGGAGGGGGGGGGGGCGTCAGTAGTGGTTGAAAGACTCTTAAATTGTGTTTATTTCCCACAAAAATATTAGGGGAGCCAATGCCACTGTTGAAAACAAATGGCTGCATGAAGATTTGAACCCACAGCATTGCAGCCAATAGGGTTAGACAAAAATGATCTGGCCACTGACCATAAACAGCACACTCAACTAACCAGGCAATGTAACAACAACAACAACATCAACAACAATAACAACAAACACAAGCAGGCATACAGACAGATTCAAGATCCCTCCACTTTATAATACTGTGTGAATACAATGTATGTTCAACTCACTTGTTGTTGGTTCTTCAGTTGCTGAAATAAAATAAAAAAGACTGGTTATTAAAGTTAGAGTGCAGGAAACGCCGGAAAAAAAAAGAGAAAATCTTTATTTTTGGGTGTAACATTGTCGCAGTCGATCAGAATGTCCGTTATTGTAAATTCATAATTTCATAAATTTGTCGTTGCTAATTCTGGATCTGCTGAATTACTAACAATGCACAAGAAATGTAACCAATGAGTAGAAATTATCTTTGCCTTCTTAGAATCCACTGACATGTTTTCATAATATGACAGCCTTTTCATAAGTTCACCATAGGGAAAAATTTTTTTTTCAAAATACTGACAAATCCGTGGCAATGTCCATTGTTTCATTCGGTTAAAACACAGTCCTGTTCTATCATTATTATTATTAATATTTTAACAACTACTATTATTTAACGTGTGACATATTTTTATTTATTTTTGTGAAAGACATGCTTTTTTCAAACAAATTAAAGTTCACTCCACTTCATAATATTGTGTGATTACAATGTATGTTATACTCACTGGTTGTTGGTTCTTCAGTTGCTGAAATAAAATTAAAAAAAAAAGTTAACGGAGCTAAAGTGCAGGAATCTATCGTTGACTTATTACAGCCAGTCATTCTGCCAACACCCCCAACCCCTTTCTTGTTTCTTGTTTTGTTTTTGTATTCTCAAGATTGTGGTTCAAAGTCAATGTCAAAAAAATTTTTTGTTGTTGCTTGTAGCATTGTTGCAAGTCGATCAGAATGTCTGTTTTTAGGGTAAAATAGTGTTGCTCGTTGTTGGTTCTGGAGCTGCTGAAAAACAAACAATGCAAAAGAAATGTAACCACTGAGTGGAAATTATCTTTGCCTTCTTAGAATCCACTGACATGTTCTCATAATATGACAATCTTTGTCCGAATTTAACATAGTGTAAAAATGTATATTTAAAAATACTCACAAAATAATCGCTAAGTCCATTGTTTCTTTCGGTTAAAACACAGTATTAATTATTAATAATAATAATCAGGTTATGCCTAGTGGCACATGAGGCTTTAGAGAGGACTTTCCATGCTTTCCTGTCCTGTGCAATCTTCAGTGCAGTTTTCCATGTCAAAGATGCCGCTCTCAGGTCACTTTCCATCGTTCGTCTCCATGTTGTTTTCAGGCGCCCCTGTTTTCTTTTTCCTTCTGGTGTCCATGTGAGAGCTGTTCTTGCAGGTATATCAGGATGCATTCTCATAACGTGGCCAAGCCATACCCATCTTCTCATGGTTATCATACTGTCTAAAGTTTCTTGGTTTGTGACTTGAAGTAGTTTAGTGTTTGAGATTGTTTTTGGTTAGAACATTTTTATAATTCTAGGCAGACATGTAAGGTGGAAGGTGGAACACTTGTTTGCATCCCTTTTGGTCATTCTCCAGCAATCCACTCAACAAAGAAGAACTGGCAAAATGATTCTCTTGCAGAGTCGGAGTGTTGTTTCTCTGCAGTAATTGTTGGATTTCCAGATTTGCCTCATCCTTCCAAAAGCAGCTCTAGCTTTGTTCAGACGTGATTGTATGCCATCTTCTGTTCCTTCCGGTAGAGACACCACACTGCCAAGATATGTGAAATGTTCTACATTTTTGAGAGTTTGATTATTTATGGTGACTGGTTGTTGGTTTGGACTGCTTGTCCTAATCATAGATAATAATTAATAATAATTATTAACTATTATTATTAATAATATTGTTTTTTAATATCATTTCAATACAGCTACTATTTAACGTGTTACATTTATTTATTTGCTTTTATAAAAGATAGGCACAGCACTTCATAATATTGTGTGAACACAATGTATGTTATACTCACTGGTTGTTGGTTTTTCAGTTGCTGAAATAAAATAAAAGAGACAGGTTAATGGAGCTAAAGCGCAGGAAACTATCATTGATTTATTACAGTCAGTCATTCCGCCACCGCCTCCTCCTTCCATTCTTTTTTTTTTTTTAATTTTGTTTTTGTATTCGCAAGATCTTTGTTTAAAGTCTGCAAACAAATTCAAGATCACTCAACTTCAAAATATTGTGTAAATACAATGAATTTTATACTCACTGGTTGTTGGTTCTTCAGTTGCTGAAATTTAAAAAAAAGCGACATCTTATTGGAGCTAGAGTGCAGGAAACTATCATTAATTTTTTTTAGTCAGTCATTGCGCCACCGCCTCCACCCCTCTTTGTTTGTATTCTCAAGATCTCCGTTTAAAGTCAATGCCGAAAAAATATTTTGTTTGTTTGTGTAGCATTGTTGCAAGTCGATCAGACTGATTGTTTTAAGGGTTAAATATAGTTGCTCGTTGTTGATTTTGGAGCTTTTGGAATACGAACAATGCAAAAGAAATGTAACCACTGAGTAGTAAATATCTCTGCCTGTTTAGAATCCACTAACATGTTCTCAGAATCTGACAATCATTTCCCAAATTCACCATTGGAAAAAAAATTATTTTTTAAAATATTTACAAATCAATCGCAATTTCTATTGTTTCATTTGGTTAAAGCACAGTTTTGTCGAATTATTATCATTATTATCAATCATTATTATTAGTTATTTTTAATATTATTTCAAAACAACTACTATTTAACGTGTGACATATTTTTATTTACTTTTGTGAAAGATATGCTCTATTACAAACAAAGATCACAGCACTTCATAATATTGTGTGAATACAATGTATGTTATACTAGTTGGTTGTTGGTTCTTCAGTTGCTGAATTAAACAAAAAAGACAGGGTAATGGAGCTAGAGTGCAGGAAACTATCATTGATTTATTTTAGTCAGTCATTCCGCCACCGCCTCCAACCCTCTTTTTTTTTTTTTTTCGAATTCTCAAGATCTCCGTTTAAAGTAAATGTCGAAAAACTATTGTGTGTGTGTGTGTGTAGTATTGTTGCAAAACGATCATACAGTCTGTTATTAGTGCAAAATTTAGTTACTTGTTGTTAGTTTGGGATCTTCTGAAGTACGAACAATGCAAAAGAAATGTAAGCACTAAATAGGAATAACCCTTGCATTCTTAGAATCACTGGCATGTTCTCATAATCTGACAATCTTTTCACAATTTCATCATAAGGAAAAAAAATTATTTTTTCAAATATTTACAAAACAATCGCAATTTCCATTGTTTCATTTGGTTAAAGCACAGTTTTGTTGAATTATAATTATTATTATCAATCATTATTTTTGAGAAACAAGACTGAGACCAGTGTTAGAACCACAGCTGGCAGAAGAACAGATGGGGTTTAGGAGAAATAGAAGCTGCACAGATGCAATCTTCACACTTAAACAGTTAATAGAAAAGAACATTAAATACAATAAGAACTTATTTGTGGCATTCGTAGACCAAGAGAAGGCATTTGACAGAGTAGACAGACAATTATTATGGAAAGTAATGGCAAGATATGGAGTAAGCGAACACCTCATCGAAGTGTGCAAAAGTTTATACAGGGATTGTAGAAGTGTAGTTAAAATAAATCAGGAAACATCTCATCCTTTCACAGTGACATCTGGAGTAAGAAAGGGGTGTGTCTTATCACCACTGCTGTTTATCACCTACATCGACAGTATATGCAAGAATGCCAAGTCCATGAATGAAGATCTTAGTAAGATCAACGAATTACTCTTTGCAGATGACCAGGCCTTGATAGCAGATACAGCCATGAAATTGCAACATCTAACATCCATGAATGAAGAATGTAAAACAAATAATATGAGAATCAACATTGAAAGACAGAATCCACTAATGTCAATAGGAAAAAAGAAGACAGATCTAAACATAGCAATAGAATACAGAGGCATTAAACAGGCATCTGAGTTTAAATATCTGGGAACTACATTTACCGAAGATGGGAAATTGGATAAAGAAATTGACATTAGATGCAGTAAAGCAAACCAAGTATTGGGACAGCTAGCTCCCCTCTTACAGCATAAGACAATCCCAATCAGCACAAAGAGGCTTCTTATTCAAAGCATATTTATTCCAACTCTGTGCTATCAGTGCCAGACATGGTCACTCACAACAAACCATAAAAGAAAATTAGTAACCACGGAAATGAGATGTCTGAGAAGGGCTGTAGGAGTGACCATAAGAGATAAGATAAGAAATGAGATCATAAGAGAACAAGTCGGCACAGAACGAATTCTGGATTACATACAAAGACAGCAAGTGAAATGGTTTGCCCACTTAGAGAGAATGCCTTGTGACACCATACCATACAAAGCATACATGGAAAGAGAAGAAGGACGAAGAGCACGGGGTAGACCAAGAACAATATGGAAGGATAACATCAGAGAGACTCTACAACAGCACGATGTTCCTATGGTCGAGGCAGCCAGAAAAGCTAGAAGCAGAACCTTATATCTCCCTCGACACCCACAGAGGTAAAAGAGGAAGTGAAGAAGAGGAAGAATCATTATTATTAGCTATTTTAAAAATGATTTCAGAACAACTACTATTTAACGTGTGACATAATTTTTATTTACTTCTGTGAAAGATATGCTTCTTTACAAACAAAATCAAGATCACAGCTCTTCATAATATTGTATGAATACACTATATGTTATACTCACTGGTTGTTGGTTCTTCAGTTGCTGAAAAAAAAAAAAAGAGACAGGTTAATGGAGCTAAAGCGCAGGAAACTACCATTAATTTATCGATGTCAGTCATTCCGCCACCGCCCCCTCCTCCCCTACTTTTTTTTTAAAATGTTGTTTTCGTATTCGCAAGATCTTGGTTTAAAGTCAACCTCGGAAAAATATTTTTTTGGTTTCTGTGTGTAGCATTGATGCAAAACGATCATACAGTCTGTTATTAGTGCAAAATATAGTTACTCGTTGTTAGTTTTAGATCTTCTGAAGTACGAACAATGCAAAAGAAATGTAAGCACTAAATAGGAATAACCCTTGCATTCTTAGAATCACTGGCATGTTCTCATAATCTGACAATCTTTTCACAATTTCACCATAGGGAAAAAAATGTACATTTAAAAATAATCAGAAATCAATCGCAATGTCTTTTTTTTTTTTCATTCAGTTAAAACACAGTTTTGTTAAATTATTATTATTATTAATATTAATTCCTCATTTTTATTAATAATAATGAGAATAATTTTTTTTAATTAACATTGCAACAACTACTACTATTTAACGTGTGACATATTTTTCATTTTGTTACCTCTATGAAATATATGATTTTTACAAACAAATTCAAGATCACAACACTTTATAATATTGTGTAAATGCAATGTAAATTATACTCACTGGTTGTTGGTTCTTCAGTTGCTGAAATAAAATAAAAGAGACAGGTTATTGGAGCTAGAGTGCAGGAAACTATCATTGATTTTTTTTTAGTCAGTCATTCCGCCACCGACCCCATCCCAAGTTTTTTTTTTTTTTTTTGTATTTTAAGTTTTTTTTATATTTTTGAAATCTCCGTCTAAAGTCACTGTCGAAAAATATCTTGTTTCTTTCTGTGTGAAGCATTGTTGCAATTCGATCAGACTGTCTGTTTTTAGGGTGAAATATAGTTGCTCTTTGTTGTTTCTAGAGCTGCTGAAATACGGACAATGCGAAAGAAATGTAACCACTGAGTAGAAATTATCTCTGCCTTCTTAGAATCCACTAACTTGTTCTCATAATATGACAAACTTTTCCCAAATTCTCCAAGAAAAAAACAAAGTTATATTTTAAAATATTTACAAAACAATCGCAATTTCCATTGTTTCATTTGGTTAAAGCACAGTTTTGTTGAATTATTATTATCAAACATTATGATAAGCTATTTTTAATATTATTTCCGAACAACTACTATTATTTAACGTGTGACATAATTTTATTGACTTCTGTGAAAGATATGCTTCTTTACAAACAAACTCAAGATCACAGCTCTTCATAATATTGTATGAATACAATGTATGTAATACTCACTGGTTGTTGGTTCTTCAGTTGCTGAAAAAAAAAGAGACAGGTTTATGGAGCCAAAGTGCAGAAAACAATCCTCGATTTATCACTGTCAGTCATACCTTCACCGCCCCCTCATCCCCTCCATTTGTTTTAATGTTGTTTTCGTATTCGCAAGATCTTAGTTTAAAGTCAACCTCGAAAAAAAAAAATATTTTTTGGTTTGTTTCCGTGTGTAGCATTGTTGCAAAACGATCAGACTGTTCGTTATTAGTGCAAAATATAGTTACTCTTTGTTAGTTTTGAAAAAAAAAATTATATTTTAAATTACCCACAAATTAATCGCAATGTCTTTTTTTTTTCATTCAGTTAAAACACAGTTTTGTTAAATTATTATTCATAATATTAATTCCTTATAATTTTTTTTAAATATAATAATAACTTTTTGTTTTAAAATTATCATTTCAACAACAACTACTATTTATTGATTTATCACTGTCAGTCATTCCGCCACCGTGGAGCTAAAGTGCCTATCCTATCACCTCATTCCGCCTCCTTCCTTCCTCCCACCATTTTTTAAAATGTTGTTTTCGTATTCGCAATATCTTAGTTGAAAGTCAACGTCAAAAAAATATTTTGTTTTGTTTCTGTGTGTAGCATTGTTGCAAAACAATCAGACTGTCCGTTATGTGTGCGAAATATAGTTACTCGTTGTTAGTTTGAGATCTTCTGAAATACGAACAATGCAAAAAAAAAATGTAAGCACTAAAAAGGAATAATCCTTGCAATCTTAGAATACACTGGCCTGTTCTCATAATCTGACAATCTTTTCCCAAATTCACCATAAGGAAAAACATTTTTTATTTTAAAATTTCAAAATTCTCAATTCTATTTTTTTTCATTCAGTTAAAATTCTATTTTTAGTAAATTATTAATAATATTAATAATTCCTAAATATTATTATTAATAATGATAAAATCTTTTTTTTAATCATTTCAACAACTACTACTATTTAACGTGTGACATATTTTTATTTTTATTTTTGTGAAATATATGCTTTTTTACAAGCAAACTCAAGATCACAACACTTCATAATATTGTGTAAATGCAATGTATGTTATACTCACTGGTTGTTGGTTCTTCAGTTGCTGAAATAAAATAAAAGAGACAGGTTATTAGAGCTAGAGTGCAGGAAACTATCATTGATTTATTTTAGTCAGTCATCCCGCCACCGCCCCCACCCCTCTCCGTTTTTTTAATCTCAAGATCTCCGTTTAAAGTTAATGTCGAAAAACTATTTTGTGTTGTGTGTGTGTATAGCATTGTTGCAAATCGATCAGACTGTCTGTTTTTAGGGTGAAATATAGTTGCTCATTGTTGATTCTGGAGCTGCTGAAATACAAACAATGCAAAAGAAATGTAACCACTGAGTAGAAGTTATCTTTGCCTTCTTAGTATCCATTGACATGTTCTCATAATGTGACGATATTTTCCCAAATTCACCATTGGAAAAAAAATGAATATTTCAAAATACTCACAAATCAATCGCAATGTCTTTTTTTTTTAAAACTCAGTTAAATCACAGTTTTGTGAAATTATAATTATTTTTAGTAGTAATTCCTAATTATTATTAATAATAATGATAATAATTTTTTTAAATATATTTTTACTAACTACTAATATTTAACTTGGTAATTATTTTGTGTGTGTGTGTGTGTAAAATATATGCTTTTTTACAAACAAATTCAAGTTCACTTCACTTCATAATATTGTGTAAATGCAGTGTATTTTCTACTCACTGGTTGTTGGTTCTTCAGTTGCTGAAATAAAATAAAAGAGACAGGTTATTTGAGCTAGAGTGCAGGAAACTATCATTGATTTTTTTTAGTCAGTCATTCCGCCACCGCCCCCACCCCTCTCCGTTTTTTTAATCTCAAGATCTCCGTTCAAAGTCAATGTCGAAATACTATTTTTTTTTTTTTTTTTGGGTGTGTATAGCAAGTCGATCAGACTGTTTGTTTTTAGGGTGAAATATAGTTGCTCGTTGTTAGTTTTGAATCTTCTGAAATACAAACAATGCAAAAGAAATGTAAGCACTAAATAGGAATAATAATTGCATTCTTAAAATCCACTGGCATGTTCTCATAATCTGACAATCTTTTCTCAAATTCACAATAGGAAAAAAAATGAATATTTTAAAAAACTCACCAATCAATCGAAATGTCTTTTTTTTTTAATTCAGTTAAATCAAAGTTTTGTGAAATTATAATAATTATTATTAATAATTCCTAATGTTCATTAATTATAATGATAAACATTTTTTTAAATATCTTTTTACTAACTACTATTATTTAACGTGTTACATATTTGTGTGTGTGTGTGAAATATATGCTTTTTTACAAACAAATTCATGATCACTCCACTTTATAATATTGTGTAAATGCAGTGTATTTTATACTCACTGGTTGTTGGTTCTTCAGTTGCTGAAATAAAATAAAAGAGACAGGGTAATGGAGCTAAAGTGCAAGAAACTATCATTGATTTATCACTATCAGTCATTCCGCCACCGTCCCTCCTCCCCCCCCCTTTTTAAATGTTGTTTTCGTATTCGCAAGATCTTAGTTGAAAGTCAACGTTAAAAATAATATTTTGTTTTGTTTCTGTGTGTAGCATTGTTGCAAAACGATCAGACTGTCCGTTATTAGTGCGAAATATAGTTACTCGTTGTTAGTTTGAAATCTTCTGAAATACGAACAATGCAAAAAAATTTAAGCACTAAAAAGGAATAATCCTTGCAATCTTAGAATACACTGGCCTGTTCTCATAATCTGACAATCTTTTCCCAAATTCACCATAAGGAAAAACATTTTTATTTTAAAATTCTCTCAAATTAATCGCAAATTCTATTTTTTTTTCATTCAGTTAAAACACGGTTTTAGTAAATTAATAATAATATTAATAATTCCTAAATATTATTATTGATAATGATAAAAACATTTTTTAAATCATTTCAACAACTACTACTATTTAACGTGTGACATATTTTTATTTTTATTTTTGTGAAATATATGCTTTTTTACAAGCAAACTCAAGATCACAACACTTCATAATATTGTGTAAATGCAATGTATGTTATACTCACTGGTTGTTGGTTCTTCAGTTGCTGAAATAAAATAAAAGAGACAGGTTATTAGAGCTAGAGTGCAGGAAACTATCATTGATTTATTTTAGTCAGTCATTCCGCCACCGCCCCCACCCCTCTCCGTTTTTTTTAATCTCAAGTTCTCCGTTTAAAGTCAATGTCGAAAAACAATTTTTTTTTTTGTGTATAGCATTGTTGCAAGTCGATCAGACTGTCTGTTTTTAGGGTGAAATATAGTTGCTCATTGTTGATTCTGGAGCTGCTGAAATACAAACAATGCAAAAGAAATGTAACCACTGAGTAGAAGTTATCTTTGCCTTCTTAGAATCCATTGACACGTTCTCATAATGTGACAATATTTTCCCAAATTCACCATTGGAAAAAAAATGAATATTTTAAAATACTCACAAATCAATCGCAATGTCTTTTTTTTTTAACTCAGTTAAATCACAGTTTTGTGAAATTATAATTATTATTAGTAATAATTCCTAATCAATATTAATAATAATGATAATAATTTTTTAAATATATTTTTACTAACTACTAATATTTAACGTGGTAAATATTTTGTGTGTGTGTGAGTGTAAATATATGCTTTTTTACAAACAAATTCAAGATCACTCCACTTCATAATATTGTGTAAATGCAGTGTATTTTATACTCACTGGTTGTTGGTTCTTCAGTTGCTGAAATAAAATAAAAGAGACAGGTTATTTGAGCTAGAGTGCAGGAAACTATCATTAATCTATTTCAGTCAGTCATTTCGATACCGCCCCCACCCCTCTCTATTTTTTTAATCTCAAGATCTCCGTTCAAAGTCAATGTCGAAAAACTATTTTTTTTTTTTTTTTTTTGGTGTGTATAGCAAGTCGATCAGACTGTTTGTTTTTAGGGTGAAATATAGTTACTCTTTGTTAGTTTGAGATCTTCTGAAATACGAACAATGCAACAAAAAAATGTAAGCACTAAAAAGGAATAATCCTTGCATTCTTAGAATACACTGGCATGTTCTCATAATCTGACAATCTTTTCCCAAATTCATCATAAGGAAAACCATTTTTATTTTAAAATTCTCACAAATTAATCGCAAATTCTATTTTTTTTTTCATTCAGTTAAAACGCAGTTTTAGTAAATTATTAATAATAATTCCGAAATATAATTTTTGATAATAGTCTTTTTTTTTTTTTTTTTTAAATTTATCATTTCAATAACTACTACTATTTAACGTGTGACATATTTTTATTTTTATTTTTGTGAAATGTATGCTTTTTTACAAACAAACTCAAGATCACAACACTTCATAATATTGTGTCAATGCAGTGTATTTTATACTCACTGGTTGTTGGTTCTTCAGTTGCTGAAATAAAATAAAAGAGACATGTTATTAGAGCTAGAGTGCAGGAAACTATCATTGATTTATTTTAGTCAGTCACTCCGCCACCGCCCCCACCCCTCTCCGTTTTTTTAATCTCAAGATCTCCGTTTAAAGTCAATGTCGAAAAACTATTTTGTGTGTGTGTGTGTATAGCATTGTTGCAAGTCGTGGGCCGAAACGTGTGTCGACGAGGATAATTTCTACTGATGACTGGTAGATCCCCGCTGTACTTGCTCCCTGTGAGTTTATTCCTATAGTCAGTCATTCCGCCACCGCCCCCATCCCTCTTTGTTTTTTTTTTGTTTTTTTTGTATTTTTGAAATCGCTGTTTAGAGTCAATGTCGAAAAATATTTTGTTTCTTTGTGTGTGTAGCATTGTTGCATGTCGATTAGACTGTCTGTTTTTGGGGTGAAAAAAATAGTTGCTCGTTGTTAATTCTGGAGCTGCTGAAATACGAACAATGCAAAAGAAATGTAACCACTGAGTAGAAATTATCTTTGCCTTCTTAGAATCCACTGACATGTTCTCATAATCTGACAATCTTTTCCCAAAATCCATAGAAAAAAAATTTATATTTTAAAATATTTACAAATCAATCGCAATGTCCATTGTTTCATTTGGTTAAGGCACAGTTTTGTTGAATTATTATTATTATTATTATTTTTAATCATTATTTTTAGTTTTTTTTTTAATTATCATTTCAACAACTACTACTGTTTAACTCGTGACGTATTTTTATTTACTTTTGTGAAATATATGCTTTTTTGCAAACAAATTCTAGATCACTCCATTTTATAATATTGTGTGAATACAATGTATGTTATACTCACTGGTTGTTGGTTCTGCAGTTGCTGAAATAAAATAAAAGAGACTGATTATTGAAACTATAGTGCTGGAAACTCTCATTAATTTATTACAGTCAGTCATTCCGACACCGCCCCCGCCCTCTTCTTTTTGGTTTTTGTTTTCTTTTTGTATTCTCAAGATCTTGGTTTAAAGTCAACGTCGAACGAAAATTTTGTTGAATTATTATTATTGTTTATTATTTGTAATTATTTTTATTATTATTTCTACAACTACTATTTAAGGTGTGACATATGTTTATTTACTTTCGTCAAAGATCTGCTTTTGAGAACGAAGTAACAGAAAAATGGTACGCAGTAACTTCGAAAATATAATTTGTCAGACTTTTATGTTCCTGGTTTGGTGTTCCAAGTCTGCTATAGGGGTAGGGGGAGTGCGCTACTACACTTCCACTTCAATAATCTTGACAAAAACGACTAGCTTTGGGTGCTTCCCTTGAAAACGCAAATTTTGTGCCTGAGAGAAAAAGAATCGACGGTGTGCATACACATTTTCCACACCTGTGAAACGAATAAGCAAGTAAAAGTAAAATTCTCGATAATGTCTAGAGGCTGGAAGTTGACGAACTACCATAACTATCAGTCAGAGTTAACCGCCGGTTGTGACGAAGAAAAAGACAAAGTTACATCTTTATTATTTCGAAACATGAGTGGAACAGTTTTTGTTTCTTTTGTTATTTTATTATATATATATATATATATATATATATATATATATATATATATATATATATATATATATATATATATATATATATATATATATATATATATATATACTAGCTGTACCCGGCCACGCGTTGCTGTGGCGTAATTTGAGATAGTCTTTGATCCCCCCCCCCCCCCCCCCCCCACAACTAAATCCACCTAGTACCCTCTCCCTCATCAAAGGTTTTTAGAAAAGAAAGACAATGGAAATCGCACCTGTCTAATGAAGTTAATGACGCAGTCAATGTCTGCGCCGACGTCGAGATAGTCCTCGATTGCCCCCCCCCCCCCCCATCGAAGGTTGTTTGGAAAAAAAACAGAAAATAGAAATCGTGTTTAATATGGTTAATGTGGCAAATATAGAGAAAGTCTTGTTTGCAGTACCTCGACCTACTCTATGTATTAAGGCGTTGGCTGCACGTAACTCGCCGGCGAATGGCGGAAGCCTTGCTTTCTGACTACGGCGGCGCATGCGCTATTACTAACGTGGCTATAATTAGAAATCACTAAAGTTATAAATATTAGTTGCGTATATTTTGGCATAAATTGTGGTCACCTATCTCTAACAGTGACAGGTTGAATTTCAAACCACGACGGTTCAAAATCCGGTATCACAACAAACATATCCTAAAAATTTCAGCTAAATCGGTTCAGTAGTTTCCGAGTCTATAGAGACCAAACAAACACACAAACATTGATTTATATATATATATATATATATATATATATATATATATATATATATATATATATATATATATATATATATATATATATATATATATATATACACACGCATTGAAACGGTTAATAACTCACATGCAAGGACGCTGTTTTACACAAGTAAGCACAGATTTGAAAAAAATAATATTACGTACTGTTGTACAAAAGTAAAGTATGAATATGTACACATGTCATGATTGACTACTTGAGTACCATGTACGCTAACAGAGAGAACACTTTTTGACAGGGTTCCCGTCTCGTATACTTTTCTGTGGCCAGTAGTGGCTGAAACAATCTTATATTTTGTTGAGTTCAGACAATAATATTAAGGGAAAACACATGGCTGACTGAGGATTTGAGCCCACCGCATTGCAGCCAGTAGGGTTAGAAGAAGAAGACGATGATACAGCTTTTTTTATTGAGACATGAGTGAAACATTTTTTTTTCTTTTTTCTTTTTCTTAATATATAATTGTACACACATTGAAACGGTTAATAACTTACATGCCAAGACGAACATATACACGGATATGCACAGATTTGCAAAAAGAATATTACGAACTGTTGTATAGAGGCAAAGAATGCATATGTACACATGAATTATTGACTACAACAGTACCAGGTGCGCTGACAGAGAGAATACGTTTTGACGGATTTCAGAACTCGCATAATTTGCGTGAATACAATGTATGTTAAACTCACTTGTCGTTGGTTCTTCAGTTACTGAAATAAAATAAAAAAGACAGGTCAGTGAAGATAGAGGGCAGGAAACTCTCGTTGATTTAATACAGTCAGTTATTTTGTTTACTACTCCCCCCCCCCCCCCCCCCCCCCCCCCACCGTCGTTTTTTTTTTTTTTTTTTGGTTTGTTTTCTTAACATCTTGGTTCAAAATCAACGCCGAAATATTGAGAAAAATATTATTTTTGTGTGTAGCATTGTCGCAAGTCGATCAAACTGTCCGTTATTAGTGTAAAATATAGTTACTCGTTGGTTCTATATCTGCTGAATTACGAACAATGCAAAAGAAATGTAACCACTGAGTAGGAATTATTCTTTCCTTCTTAGAATCCACTGACATGATTTCATAATCTGCCAGTCTTTTTGCCAAATTCATCATAGGGAAAAACATGTATTTTCTAACATACTGACAAATTAATCGCAATGTCCATTGTTTCATTTAGTTTAAATCATAGTCCTGTTTAATTATTATTATTAATAATTATTATTTCAAATAAGTAATAATAATAATAATTATATCGTCAGGGAAGGCTCGCTCATGGGCCACTCAAACATCCAAGACCTACAACGGATTGCAACGAACCGCCATGCATGGAGAGTCATGACCTCTGCCCTATGTGCCGCACTCGACACAAGAGGAAAGACTAACTAACTAACTAACTAACTAACTAACTAATAATAATTATTATTATTTTTATTATTTTTTCGACAACTGCTACTATTTAACGTGTGACGTGTTTTTATTTACTTTTGTGAAAGACAGGCTTTTTTACAAACAAACTCAAGACCTTTTTCTTCTTTTTCTGCCTTTCTATCCCCTTTTGGAGCATAGGCTCTCAGCCAACTCACGCCAAGTCGTTCTATCCTTCGCCATTGCATGGAGCTCTCCCCATTTCCTCCCAATCTTTCTAACTTCATTCTCCTGCTCTCTTCTCCATGTATTTTTTGGCCTTCCTTTATTCCTATTCCCCTGTGGGTTGCAATGCAAAGACATTCTAGTTATGCTGCCCTCCTGTTTTCTCAGTGTATGCCCTATCCAACGCCAGCGTCTTTTCCTCACCTCTTTGTCCACTGAAGCCTGTTTAGTTCTCTCCCAAAGTTCTACATTAGTTATTCTATCATACCATGTTATTCCCTCTATTCTGCGCAGGCACCAGTTGATGAATGTCTGTAATTTATTAGTAATTGCCTTGGTTGTTCTCCATGTTTCCGCCCCATGCAATAGTACTGATTTGACATTAGAATAAAACATTTTTTAGTTTAGTATTTCTTTTAATCACTCCGCTTTAAAATATTGTGTTAATACAATGTATTTTAAACTCACTGCATCTTGGTTCTTTAGTTGCTGAAAAAAAAAGAGACAGGTTATCGAAGCTAGAGAACAGGAATTTATCCTTTATTTATTCCCGTCAGTCATTCCGCCACCGCCCTTTACCCTTCTTTTTTTTTTTTTATTCTCAAGATCTTCGTTTGAAGTCAACGTCGAAAAAATATTTTGTTTGTTTGTGTGTGTAGCATTGTTGCAAGTCGATCAGGCCGTCTCTTTTTAGGTTAAAGTATAATTTAGAGTTGCTGAAAATACAAACAATGCACACACACACACACACACACACACACACACACACACACACACACACACACACACACACACACAAGTAACCACTGAGTAGGAATTATCTTTGCCTTCTTAGAATCCACTAAAGTGTTCTCATAATTTGACAGTCTTTTTCTTCACCAAAGGAAAAAAATGTATATTTTAAAACACCTTAAATCAATTGCAATGTCCATTGTTTCATTTGGTTAATGCACAGTCTTGTTGAATCATTATAATTAATAACGATTACTATTATTAAATATGTTTATTATAATTTCTGCAACTAATACACATTATTTACTTTTGTCAAAGATTAGATTTTGAGTATGAAGTAACAGAACAATAGTGAATTATCTTGAGTAACAATAAAATTAGCAGTGGCGCACAGAAAGACAACGTATTTTGACAGGGTTCACAGTCGTATAATTTTTCTCGGGGGCGGTAATAGGTTCAAGAAACATAACTTTTGTTGAATTCACACATCAATCATTGGGATGCCAATCGTTGACTTATTACAGCGAGTTGAGCCACAACCCCCCCCCCTCCCCCAGACCCCCCCCCCCCAAACCCCAACACTATTTTTTGGGGTCGTTTTCGCTTACAAATCTTATCTGAAACAAAACTTAATAAAAATGAATTTGCTTTTCGGAGCATTGTCGCAAGTTGATTAAACTGTCGGGTTGTACAATTGTAAAATATACAGTATGTACTTACTCGTTGTTGGTTCTGGAGTTGCTAAAATACAAACAATTTTAAAGACATGTATCCACTGGTTAGAAATTTTCTGAGCCTTCTTAAAATCAGTTAGCATTTTTAATAATCTGAAAATCTTTCTCCAGCTACAAGTTTGGAAAAAAAAAAAATCAGTCTTAGTGTGTATGGTTACCTTTGCTTTAATAGAGTTGTTGTTGTTTTTGTTTTTAAATTATTTTATTACTTTTATTTGACGCGTGGAAAGTTATTTTTTTTTTCACAGACATGCTTTTGAACAGTAGTAACTGAGAATTGACACACAGTAATTTTGAAAATGTATGTTGTCAGACTATTGTGTTTCTCAGGTGGTGTCCCGATCTGTTGTGGGTGTAGGTGGAATACAACAGTGCCCTTCTACGTCAAGAATCTCGTCAAAACAGACTAAAAGTGGTACTTCTTTTGATGTCGGAATTCATCTGCCTGGGAGGTGATGAATAGACTGTATGCATACAAATATTTCACATATGTCCTCTTCTTCTTCTTCGCGTTCACCAGCTGTACACTCTGGCGGAAAGTTCTGGTTGCTCGTCCATTACTGAACTGCAGTCCTGTTTCAGAACCTGAGTGTTGCGTGTGCATCAGTTTTACAGATTTCATTCTCTTGAATACAGACTGTTGGTTCCTTTCCTATCCCACAGATGCACTCCGACTTCAAAGGAAGCTCCTCAATTAGTTGAATATTACTACATGCTTTTGGGGAGGCAGTGGGTCTATTCTTGTTTTTCCCACAATGGGGCCCAGGAACCCACACGGGGTTCCACATATGGGAAACGGATATGCACGTAAGAGCAAATTCGTAAACGTGACTACAGTCCAGAAGTTGACGAACTTGTAAAACTTTTAGCCGGATATTACAGCCTGTTGTAGCAAAGATAAAGAAAATAATGATGTGTTAGCTAAGACCTGAGTACATAGGTTTGTTTATCATAATTTAAGTTCCTTCATGGAAAGGAGTAACAACTCACATGCGTAGACGTATACACACTAGGATAAACAAGGATTTGTTGATACTTTTTTATGTTCATTTATTGAAACGATAAATGATTCACATATGTAGACGTAGGCATACTAGGATAAACAAGGATTTGTTAATACTTATGTATGTTCATGCATGGAAACAAGAACTAACTCACATGCGTAGACGTAGACATACCGGGATAAACAAGGATTTGTTGATATTATTTATGTTCATTTATGGAAACGAGAAAAACCCACATGTGTAGACTAGACATACTATGATAAACAAGGATTTGTTGATCACTATTTATGTTCACGCATGGAAACGTGAAATGATTCACATGCGTAGACGTAGACACACTAGGATAAACACGGATGTGAAAACAAAAAAAATATTGTGCACTATTATATAGACGCATTAATTAACATGAGTAAACAATAACAAACAGTACCAGTGGCGCTGAGACAGAGAACGTATTCTGACAGGGTTCACACTCGTATAATTTTTCTCGGACTCGGTAAGGGGCTCCAGAATCATACCTTTTGTTAAATTCACTCAACAATAATTGGGATGCCTATCATTGTTGAAAGCAGATGGCTTCATGAGGATTTGAACACACAGCCTTCCAGCCAATAGGGTCAAGCAAAGAATGACCTACCAACTGACTATAAACATTACACTCAACCAAACAATCAATCTGACAAACAAAAACAAAAACAAAAACTAATTTTTCTCGGGCTCGGTAAGCGGGCTCAAGAATCATAACTTGTGTTGAACTCACACAACAATCATTGAGATGCCAATGCCATTGTTGAAAGCATATGGCTCCATGAGGATTGATACCCACAGCCTTCCAGCCAATAGGGTCAAGAAAAAAATGACCTACTAACTGACCATAAACATTACACTCAAGTCACCAACAACAACAAAAAACAAAAAACAAAAACGTATACTCAAGCAGACATACAAACAGGTTCAAGATCGGTCCACTTCACAATATTGTTTGGAAAAAAAATTATTGTATACTCACTCGTTGTCGGTGCTTCAGTTGCTGAAAAAAAAAAAAAAAACGATTATTGTAGCTAGAGTGCAGAACCTATCGTTGACTTATTACAGCCAGTTGATTCACAAACCTCCCTTCTCCCATCCCCACCCCACCATTTCTGCATTTTGTTTTCGTTTAAAAATCTTATTTGAAAGGCAACTTAGAGAAAATTAATTTGCTTTTTGGAGCATTGTCGCAAGCTGATCAAACTGTCGGGTTGTGCAACTGTAAGCTATACAGAGTTTACTTACTCGTTGTTGGTTTCTGAGTTGCTAAAAAACGAACAATGCAAAGAAATGTAACCATTGGTTAGAACTTATCTTAGCCTTCTCAAAATCAGTTAGCTTTTTTCATAATCTGTAAATCTTTCTCCAGTTTCGGGTTAGGAAAATCGAACAAAATCAGTCGCAGTCAGGATTGTTACATTTTGCTTAAAATAAAGTTTTTTTTTTTTTTTTTTAATAATAATATTCTTACTATTGGTTGAAGCGTGTAAAATTATTATTTACTTTTTCAAAGACATGCTTTTCAGCATAAAGTAGTTGAAAATTGACACGCAGTAACTTTGTTAATGCATGTTGTCCGACTATTTTGTTCCTCGGATGGCGTCCCGAGTCTGCTGTGAGTGTAAGTGGAATACAACAGTGCCGTTCCACGACAAGAATCTCGTCACAACCTACTAACTAGTGGTACTTATTTTAAAGTTTGAATTCATCTGCCTGAGAGGCGAGAAATCAACAGTATGCATACAAATATTCAACATCTGTGAAACGGATATGCACGTAAAAGTCAAATTCGCAAACGTGACCACAGTGCAGAAGTTGAGGAACTTCCAGAACTTTCGGCCAGAGTTTACAGCTTTTACAGCAAAGATGAAGAAGATAATTTTGTATTAACTGAGACCTGAGAACACAGATTTGTTGATGATTGTTTATGTTCCTTCATTGAAACGAGAAACAACTCACATGCGTAAAAGTAGACATACTAGGATAAACAAGGATTTCTTGATCACTATTTATGTTCATGCATGGAAACGAGAAATAACTCACATGCCTAGACGTAGACACACTAGGATAAGCAAGGATTTCTTGATCACTATTTATGTTCATGCAAGGAAACGAGAAATAACTCACATGCCTAGACGTAGACACACTAGGATAAGCACGGATGTTAAAAAAAATATTGGCACAAATATGTAGCCACATGAATGCACATGAGTAAACAATAACAGTACCAGTGGCGCTGACAAAGAGAACGTTTTTTGACAGGGTTCAAACTAGTATAATTTTTCTCAGGCTCGGTAAGGGGGTCTAGAATTATAACTTTTGTTGAACTCACACAAAAATAATTGCGATGCTAATGTCATTGTTGAAAGCATATGGCTCCATGAAGATTTGAACCCACAGCCTTCCAGACAATAGGGTCAAACAAAAAATGGCCTACCAACTAACCATAAACATTACACTCAACTAACCAGTCCATCTAACCAAAAAAAAAATTTTTTTACACAAGCAGACATACAAACAGATTCAATATAGTTCCACCTCACAATATTGTGTGGAAAACAAATTATGGTATACTCACTCGTTTTCGGTGCTTCAGTTGCTGAAAAAAAACCAACAACAGGTTATTGTAGCTAGAGTGAAGAACCTATCGTTGACTTAATCACAGCGATTTGATCAACAACCCCCCCCCCCCCCCCCCCCCCCCAACCACACTTTTGTTTCTTTGTTTGTTTTGTTTTCGTTTAAAGATCTTATCTGAAAGACAACTTAGTAAAAATTAATTTGCATTTTGGACCATTGTCGCAAGTTGAGCAAACTGTCGGGTTGTACAATTGTAAAATATACAGAGTCTACCTACTCGTCGTTGGTTCTGGAGTTGCTAAAATACGAACAATGTCAAAGACATGTATCCATTGGTTATAAATTTTCTGAGCCTTCTTAAAATCAGTTAGCCTTTTTAATAATCTGAAAATCTTTCTCCAGCTACAAG